AAAAAAAAAAATTAAAAAGCAGAATGCAATGATAGAAACTACCAGAATAATCACCCACTTCCTGGGATGTCTGTCTCTGCTTAAGGAGAAGAAGCCTCCAAAGATTTGAGAAGAAAGCTACATCAGCTTCAATGACCTGAGTATGTATTTTCCCTCCACATACAAAAATCATCCATCACCTAAACAGACTGCTCTCTGTTCAGACATCTTTAACTAGAATTCTTGAACAGGAGCAAAACACAGAGAGGGCTTAAATACAATCAGTGTTCAGAATTACCATCAGCAGGACATACTGTGAAGCCAAAGCTAGTGTCTGACAGTGATCAGGAAGCTGGGAGCCTGCCTGGGCAGAATGACCATAACCTTCCAGGCTAGTGTTTGTTTATTTACAACTGATGTCCCCATAGCAAGAGCTTGGCAAAGAACTGAACTTTGTTGGATACCAACCTCTAGGTGGAGCTGGCTGTTCCCAGTAAAAGAGACCCCACACTACAAGGAAAGAAACTCCCAATTCTGCATGTTTTGAGGAATGTTGTTAGACAAAATTAATTTATGGTATTCAAATTGTGAATTCTGTAGGTTCATCAAATTTTTGTTAAGTATATTAATAAAACACTGCTCCAGAGACCTGAAAAAACTTTCTATGTGGTAAACTTTCACACAGCAGGACTTAACCTATTCCAGTCTCATTAATTCCATCAACATGCTAGCTCTGAACCACCACAAACCCCCGAGGCTGGAGGACAGTGGCATGGCCATCTGGACACGTGGCTCGCCCAGCCTGACCTTGCAGCTGCTCTCTAATCCTCTCTGCTCTTCTTCATATTCAACACCCCAACTACTCCTAAGTGCCCTCTCCAGGCACAACACTGGACCAAAGAGCCTCTTGACTCTGAAGGAAGAAGGAATTACTGATTTTGCATAGCACTTGACAGGTCATGAAGGTCTTTCATGTATATTTATTTCTTACTCTCTTCAGCCTCTTTCTCCTTCTTGCCTTTCTCATCACTGTTTACACATCTCAAGATTCGTCTACTTTTGAAAGAGCTTCCCGCAGACCCCACATTTCCACTTAGCTACTCACTGTCTCTACCCACCCTCTTCCGTGTGCTCTTCAACTCACTCCAATCACTTCTGTTCTGACCACAATACCTTTATTTTGTTTCTATGTGGTGCTGAGGATCAAACCCAGTGCCTTCTCGTTAAAGTCATTAACTAACTCATGCTGTTAAACCCACTGGATCTGTTCTAATCAACTTCCTTGTTTATCGATCTACCTTTCCCTTGCCTTCTCTTTTTCTTTTTTTCCTTTGCAGTACTTGGGATTGATGCTAGCCAACAGCTCTTCCTCCTCCAGCTCCTCCCTTGGCTTTTTTTTTTTTTTTTCAGTACCACAGATTGAACTCAGAAGTACTCAACCATTGAGTCACATCCTGAGCCCTGCCTCTTTTTTTTCCCCCATGGTGCTGGGGATTGAACCCAGGGCCTTGTGCATGTGAGGCAAGCACTCTACCAACTGAGCTATATCCCCAGCCCCCCAGACCTTTTTTTTAAAATTTATTTTATATCATTATATTTTTAGCTGTCGATGGACACGATACCTTCATTTTGTTTCTATGTGGTGCTGAGGATCAAACCCAGTGCCTCATGCATGTCAGGCAAGCACTCTACCACTAATTAAATGTGTCAATATTGGAGTATCTATATGATATTTTCCAAATGACAAATCTGTGATTTGCAAAAATCATACCTGGATAAAAGATCTACTTGAAGTGCAAGAGAGAGAGATCAATGAATTCTAATGTTAATAGTGTGTAAAATCTTCTTTGATAGGGCTTCAGATTACTTGTCAAATTTTAGTACAGTATCAAAGAAAAACATCCAGTTATCTTTATTATTTTTAAAATATACATATATATACATTTAATTTGTAAAAATTTTTTAGTTGTATTTGGACACAACACCTTTATTTATTTTTATGTGGTACTGAGGATCAAACCCAGTGCCTCGCACATGCTAGGTGAGCACTCCACTGCTGAGCCACAACCCCAGTCTCCTCAGTTATCTTTAAACTTATTAATATTTTTTCTTTTCAAATTAAACATCTAATGTGTAGGGCTGGGGATGTGGCTCATGCGTGCGGCCCGGGTTCAATCCTCAGCACCACATACCAACAAAGATGTTGTGTCCGCTGAGAACTAAAAATAATAAATATTAAAAATTCTCTCTCTCTCCCTCTCTCCTCTCTCATAAAAAAAAAAAGAGAAAAAAAAATCTAATGTGTAAAATCAGATTTTTTTCAGATGCTTTAAGCAAAATAGCCTATTATGACAATTGAATGTAGATCCAGGTATTATGGCACACACCTATAATCTTAGCAACTCAAGAAACTAAGGCAGGAGAATGGCAAATTCTAGGCCAGCCTCAGGAACTTAGTGAGCTCCTATCTCAAAATAAAATAAAAATGGCTGGGGACGCAGCCAGTGATAAAGTGTACCTGTGTTTAATCTGCAGTACCACCAAAAAAAATTGAATTCAGAAGCAGTTTTGAGAATTCACATGTCTATTTAACCTACACATTACATTTGCAAAAAAGTAAAACAATGCCATTTTATTTTTCTTTCTTTTCTTTTTTTCCGATAGTACTGGGGATTGCACCCGGGAGTGTTCTACCACTGAGCTATATTCCCAGACCTTTGAATTTTTTATTGAGATAGGGTCTTGCTAAATAACTGAGGCTGGCCCAAACTTGCAGTCTTCCTACCTAAGCTTTCTAAGAGTCACTGGAATTCCAGGCGTGCCTCCATGTGGCAACAGTGCCTTTTCCTTACTAATATTTTTTGTTTTGAAAAATATGGTTATTATTCACCATAATGTTATTTATGTTAGTATGTAATGGGGGAAAATACGTAATTTTTTTTTACTTTTAAGTGAATTCATAAATTAAAAACTGAGAAACATAAGAAATATTTATCAGATAATATGAATAGATATGATGCACATAAACAAAAGGTTTGTGAGAGTCATAATTTTTGAGAGCGGGGGTTGTGGCTCAGTGGCAGAGCACTTGCCTTGCTCATGTGAGGCACTGGATTCAAACCTCAGGACCACATAAAAATAAAAAAACAAAGATATTGTGTCAATCTATAACTAAAACAAAAATTTAAAAAATAATAATAATTTTTAAGAAAACAAAGGAGTCCTGAAAGCAAAAATGCTGCCCTGGCCATACCAAATTATTTTCAGTTCTTAAAAATACCATGAGGGGACTGGGGTTATAGCTCAGTGGTAGGTCACTTGCCTTGCATGCATGAGGCGCTAGGTTCAAAACTCAGCAACACATAAATATAAATAAATAAAGATACTGTGTCCATCTACAACTAAAAAAATATTAAAAAAAAAAACAAACACCATGTGATTTCTGTCTCCCAGACCTTGCACACATTTTTCTCTTTGCTTTATACACTTTCATCAATCTGCCTGGTTCTTACAAAACATTCAGGTCTTAAGCCTGAATAGTTTAAAATGGCTTCAACATCACTTCTTCCAGAAAGCCTTCCCTGATTGTTCAGACTGAAATTGGTACCCCTTCTGTGTACTCCCATAGTACCTATACTCTTTATCATAAATATATCCTGTGATTGATTAAACATCTGTTTTACCCACTACATTCCTTATGTACTGAGATCAGCTCTTGTTTATAGTTATGTCCCCAGGAGTTAGCACTGTCTGGCAAATATAAGCATTTACAAACACTTTTTTTTTTAAGCATTTGCAAACACTTTTTTTTTTTTAAGCATTTGCAAACACTTTTTTTTTTCCCCCCGGGTCGGGGGGTACTAGGATTGAACCACTGAGCTACATCCCCAGCTCTTTTTATTTTGGGACAGGGTCCTAAGTTGCTTAGGGTCTGGCTACATTGTTAAGGTTCACCTTGAACTCCAGATCTCCTTCCTCAGCCTCCTGAGCAGCTGGGATTACAGGCTTGTGCCACCATGCCTGGCAGCATTGGTAAACACTTATTGGTAAACTGAATGTAATATTCATCAAGATAAATGGGTTATTATGTTTACAAGAAAAGTGCAGTTCAGAAAGTGCTCTATTCAAATTCACTTAAAAAGTGTAAACTGACAACTGCATTCCAAGTGTTTTACCTCTAAAACCCTCACTCTTTGGGGGATGGGGGCAGTTTACCTGGGAACTAATGGCATACTTCAGATAAGACAGGATGAGAGGATTAGGGGAAGGTCCAATCATGGCCTGCTCCAAAAGTGCTTCTGCAAGGGAAATAACAAAGTAAAACTGAGTGGTTGCTCTTGGGGGTTTATTCCTCCCATCCATCCTACCCGCTTCACTTGAGACCTGCCAGGTTGAGAATGTCCCAGGTGGCTCCTTTGGGAAAGAATTTCTTCATGTTGATTGCCCATTGGTAGTCACTCCATCGCTCCTTCCAGGCTTGCAAAATAGCTTGCTTCAGGTTCACCACCTTCATGACTTCACTCTGAGGAGGCGAGGCCGACAGTCGCCAGCTTTGAGGTAAAAGAAATGGAAAGAGAGAAGGGATGAGGTGCTGAAGGCAAAAACAGGGAAGGTAGAGTTAAACAGAAAGGAGATTCGGGAAAATAAAGCAAGTCATAAGAACCGGACGGAAAATAAAGAGAAAGGGTGCAAGGCAGAGATCCTGTCAAGATCTCCCCTCCTGAACCATCCTCCCTTAAACTGGGGCACTAAAAGAAGGTGTCACGTTATGTATAACTATAATGCACCAGTAAAAAAATATGGAAAAATAAAAAGAGAGTGTCAAAGGGGCTGACACAAAAACAGAGGGCAGGAAGGGGTTAACCGAGCTCCGGTTGTCTCATTACGCCCTTAGCTCTCGCTGTGTCCCTCACCCATACCACCCCAAATCCTGACAGCCCTCTTTTCCCCATCTTCTCCTGAAATTATAATTCCCCACTTCCATTTCATCCACTACCACCCCAAATTTAAGCCTACCATACAATCGAGTTCTAGATCTTAGGCAACGCCATTTTGGCACCTATGAAGGAACTCGTTTTCTATTGGCTGGGGATACCAGATACTAACCAATGAGAATGCAGCAAGTGACAGGCTCCCGCCGCAGTGTCTTCTGGAAATTGTAGTTCGTTCGACCGGGGTCGCGTATGTCTAAACTAGCGGGAAAACTACGGAATTAATCTAGTGGGCCTTTCTCTCCTTCAAAGGACAACATCAAGGAGCTGAGGCATCAAGAGATTCAGAGGCTAGGCAAGCAACCAGGCGTTGTCCAATGACGTCACTGTCTACGAGACCCTCAACTGCATTCTGCCTAGTTAGTAGGCACTGCAAGCATGTTATGCTCAGTAACACGTTCTTTTCTGGCTTTGCCCTATTCACCCACTCACTCCAAAGCCCTGGCACCACCAGAGTTCTCATTTCTACACCTGTATTTCAGAAGTGACACTGAGGCGTAGTTAGTTACACACATCACTACCTCACTCTAAAATCTGACAGTTCTCCCAGAATCTCCAGGCTATGCATACTGCTTGCATGCAGGTTAAGATCACCAAACCAAGTAAAGTCTAAGAAACTGTCCAAAAGGACCTAGGGAGACGTGATGAGGTAATGTGGTACCGTGAATGAGATCCTGGGACAGAAAAAGAAAATTAAAGAAAATCTTACTGGGCACCGTGGCACATGCCTCTAAGTCCGGTGACTTGGGAGGCCAAGATAGGAGGATTGAAAATATAAGGACAGGGCTGGGGATGTGGATCAAAACAAAAAATAGGGGCAGTGGGCTGGGGATGTGGCTCAAGCGGTAGCGCGCTCGCCTGGCATGCGTGCGGCCCGGGTTCGATCTTCAGCACCACATACCAACAAAGATGTTGTGTCCGCCGAGAACTAAAAAATAAATATTAAAAAAAAAAAAAATAGGGGCAGTGATTGTGACTCAGGGGTGGAGCACTTGCCTAGCATGTGTGTGGCACTGGGTTTGATCCTCAGTACCACATTAAAAAATAAATAAAATAAAGGTATTGTGTCCATCTACAATTAAAAATTTTAAAACACAGGGCTGGGGATGTGGCTCAAGCAGTAGCACGTTCCCCTGACATGCGTGTGACCCAGGTTCGATCCTCAGCACCACATACAAACAAAGATGTTGTGTCTGGCGAAAACTAAAAAATAAATATAAAAAAATTCTCTCTCAAAAAAACTTTAAAAATATAAATATAAATGCTTGGGTTGTGCCAGGCGCGGTGGCCACACCTGTAATCCAGAGGCTGCAGGGCTGAGGCAGGAGGATCACAAATTCAAAGCCAGCCTCAGCAATGGCAAGGCGCAAAGCAGCTCAGTGAGGCTCTGTCTCTAAATAAAATACAAAATACGGGGCTGGGGATGTGGCTCAAGTGGTAGGGCTCTCTCTCTCTCTCTCTCTCTTTCTCTCTCTGTCTCTCTCTCTCTCTCTTTAAAAAATAAATAAATAAAATACAAAATAGGGCTGGGATGTGGCTCAGTGGTTGAGTGACCCTGAGTTCAATCCCTGGTAACTACCCCCCAAAAAATGATTGGCTTGTAACTCAGTGGTAGAGTGCTTGCCTAGCATGTTTGAGGTCCGGGGTTCAATCTCCAGTACTGAAAAAAGAAAAGGAAGAAAAAAAAAAACTAAAGAAATCTGATAAAGTATGGAATTTAATTAAAGGTTATAACTGTAACATACTAATATCAGGATATTAATAAAAGAAAAATTGGAAGCCGGTGTGGAGGCCAGTGGTAAAAACTTGCATAAAGCCTTGGGTTCCATTCATAGCACAGAAAGTAAAAGAAAAAGACCTCCAAGTATATGGAGACCCTCTACTATCTTCAAATTTTTCCCTAAAAATCTAGAGCTTTTTGAAGTTCATTTTTAAAACCCTCTTTATTCCTAAAAACCATATTGTAGTCTATTATGTCCACAGCTTTTGCTTGTTTCCCTCCAGTGGGAAACCCAAAACCAAATGTTATCCACCTCTGGTACGGATGTCTGAGCGTCCCTTCTCAAAGTCCCCATGCCTTTCCTGTTCTATGAACAACCAGCTACAAGAATAACATGGAGGCCCACCACCAATGTTCTGTCATTCCTCATTTTTAGCCCCCAAACCCATGTTCTGAAGAGCATGATATCCCAACCCATGAGTCTAGTGTCTCTCTCTCTCTCTCTCTCTCAGACAGATTTTGACTATGTAGCCCAGGCTGACCTCTAACTCACAGTCCTCCTATCCTAGCCTCCCAAGTAAGAGGAGGGCTGGGGATGTAGCTCAGTTGGTAGAGTGCTTACCTCACATGCACAAGGCCCTGGATTCAATCCCAAGCATCAAAAAAAGTTAAAGTGCTGGGTGTGTAGCTAAGTAGTAAAGTGCTTGTATTCAATCCCAACCATCCCAACAAAAAAAAAAAAAAAAAAACATAACCGTATAAATGGAATTACAGATGTACACCACCACAACTGGCTCCTCCTAGGTCACCTTTTGAAGGAAAATCTTGATGATTCCAGAAGAGCATCCCACTCAAGCTCTGAAAGTAACCTTGTAGCTATGTGGGCAGATAATAACATGATCCTGGTTTTCTGGAGCATGGTCTAAATGGGAAGATAGGAATACTGTCCAAAGGGCAGGAGGGCCACAGCATGTCCCTCTAAGATTGATACTGCCCATGGCCTTCCCCACTCTACTCACCCACATTCCCCTCCATTCTGTTCCCTTTGTGCCTTCCCAAGTGACACTACTAGAGAAGAGTGTTTATACAAGACAGTTGTCAAATATCTGTAGCTAAAGTATTAAAAGCATGAAGGAAGGAGAACCCATACTCCTCATGCTTTACCTCCAGGTTCCCCTAGAAACTCCCCCGCAACACACACACCTGCCACCACTACAAGCCCTATTTCTCTGTAGTCTCTCACATAGCTGATTTCCCTTTTTCTCCAAGGACCCTCACTCCACCTTTGCCTGCCCCCACTTCCTATTCCTTTTTTATTACAGAAGCCTAAGCCCCCAGCCTTGGGCCATTCCTAGATCCTGTGCTACTATCCCATCCCTCATAGCCCAAACTGCCCTTCTTGGAGAGAAGCTGTTAATGTATTGCTTTTGTGTTAGAAAAGCAAAATTGAGGGGGCTGGGATGTGGCTCAAGCGGTAGCGCACTTGCCTGGCATGCGTGCGGCTGGGGTTCGATCCTCAGCACCACATACAAACAGAGATGTTGTGTCCGCCAAGAACTAAAAAATGA